GTCTGTGTTACAAGAAGGGAGGAGGAAACAGAAGTCTGGGATAGAGGGACCCCTGGGGCCAGGCATAAGTTTCAATGACTATTAGAGCTTAGATATCCAAGTTCAGTCTCCCCTTTCTACAAAGGGAAAGACTCCAGCACGGAGAAGAGGAAGGGACTTCTTCAGGGTCAAGGTTGTTAGAGCCCCTCATCTGTACACTCCGCGGCTAAGGGCAGAGGAGGAGGAACAGCCCTGAAGGGCAGGTTTCTGCCAGCAGAGTCCGCCCAGGAGTGATCAGAGGCCCTTTCCAAGCCTAGACATCCTTGATGTGGGGTCAGTGGGAGCCCAGGGGCTGGGAGTGGACTCTCTTTTCTCTCTGCTCTCTCCTTTGGCAAGTTAATTTCACTCCCATGTCTTTAATTGCCGCCTCTGCACAGATGTTTGCCATTGAGACTTTAAAGAGTACTGGACTTGTAGCCAAGACAAACATGAGTTCATGTGTGAGTTCCAGCGCTAAGACCCTGGGTCATACAACTGATCGGTGTTTTGAGCCTCGGTTTCTTCATCTGTAAAATGGGAATAATACTTGCTCTCATGGGTGGGTTGTGAGGAAAGCACTTTAAACTCCACAGCACTGTATAGATATGTTATTGTTATTCTGCCTCTGACCTTGACCTCTTAGTCCCATCCCCCTCCCCCTTCATCCCCTGGCTTTATTCTGTCAGTCATGTCAAGTATTTATTAAGAGCCTCACTATATGCCATACACTGGACATACTAAGAAAGATAAAAGGTTTCAAGGAGTTCACATTCTAGTGGAAAAAGAGCATGCAAACAACTCTGAGCAAATAAGATACACTGTGTACAAGAGAAATTGTAGGTGATCAAGAGGGAACCACCAGCATTAAAGAGGATCAGGAAAGGCTTCTGGCAGAAGGGGGGATTTTGGCTGGGACTTAAAACTGAGCAGGAAGAGAAATCCAGGGACCACTTCTCCCCAGTTTCCCCTCTTCACAATTTGGGGGTTACCTTTGAATTTCCCCTTCCCTAGGCTCTCCTAGCCAGTTAGCCACGCCCCGTGCCCTCCACCTCCCCAGTGTCTCATGGCCCTGCACCCCTGCTTCCCCCGTGGGCCCCATCACCACCCACTCTGCATTTTGGCCACGGCCCCCGAAAAGTCCAGTATCTAAATCCAGCTCTCTTTCTATTGTATCCTGCTGCCTCCCCAAGGTTCTCAAGGTCATATCGATGAGGAATTATGGAGTCATAGAATGAGAGCTGGAAGACACCCGAGAGGCCATCAACCCCAGATGAAAAAAACCACACTCTAGGTAGGTTCAACACCTCACCCAGGGTCCCGCAGCTAGTGAGTGTTGGAAGCAGGTTTCAAACTCTGAGTTTAGCTCTCCCATCGATCCACTATAACACGCTGTTTCTTCGGGGGACAAACCCGACAGACCCTACCAACCTGGGAAGCTTCTTAGGGAAGGGCCCCGAGAGAGACAGAACATCTGTCAGCTCAGACAAGCCTAGCTAAGTTTGGCCCGACCACCCAGCAAGACCAAGGAAGGCATAGAGAAGTTACTGCTGTGTGTTGCCCACACATGGATCAACTAACTCCCAGGGCCTTGAAATGTTGAAATTAGGCACAGATTGGTAAAAATCTTCAGTGGTCTTCTTTAGTACCTACTGAGGAAAGTTCAGATTTCTCTGCCTGGTCTTCAAAACCTTCCACAGCCTGCTGCCAAGCTACTTTTCTGTCCTCTTTTCTTCTCCTCTCCATTCCATCCTTCCTCAGCCACCCCACATCTTCTCTATGATCCAGCTCAACTGGACCACTTTCTGCCCTCTCCTGCTTAAGCCAAATGGCTCAGGAAGCCTTCCCCATTGTCCCCTCCCCCCCAATAAATAAATGTAAAGAAATAAATAGGGCCTTCCTCTTTGGGCCCTCCCAGTCTTTTTTTTTTTTTGGAGGGGTGGGATGTGTGGGGGGTGGGGAGTTCCTGGGATGCATATGCTGTATCATAGAAAGAGCGTTTCACTTGGAGCTGCAAGACTTCTATTTGAACTCTGGCTCTGGCATATGAGCTGTGTGACCAAGAACAAACCACATCATCTCTCTGGGCCTCAGTTTCCTCATCTGTAGAATGGAAACTTACAGTGCCTATCTTACAGGATTGTTGAGAGAAAAGTTCTTTGGAGAGAAAATGCCAAAATACTATAGAGTTATTATTATTACTATGAAAGAACCTGCCTAACCTCTGGGACATCAACTCCACTTCCAGACTGGTGCTGAGGATTATTTAATTACTGCCTTAGTACTTCTCCTTTACTAGCTCTGTTCTTTCTTAATTTCTAAGCCCTAGCTCAGATCCTCAATCCTTGACCTCCCATGGTCCTGAGCTTGCCTGTCTCCCTGGATCCGGAGGTCTGTCATACCCCATCTGTAATGACCTCACTTGTTTGGCTCTTCCTGCCACTATCCCTGGACCCAAATTCTGCCATTTCCTCCTCCTTCCTTCCTGCTGTGCCCTCCCTCCATCTCCACATACTCTGGACCATAAGAATGAGAGTGGATTTCAGAGTTTATTCACAAGGGAAAGAGGTCACATAGAAAACTCTCTGGAATAGGATTACAGGAAATTAGAGATACATATAAAAAAATGAAAATAACTGCCCTCCTTCCTTTTGTACTTGAAAGTTTACAAAACCCAAAGCAATTTTTTTTTGAGGATGTAGAATGTATTCCTGTTTTCCAGATGAGGCAACTGAGGCTCAGAGATGAAATGACTTGCACCAGGTGTCAGAACCCAATCCTGTGCTTTTTTCCAGGGTACCTAGGTAGGACCTGAGCCTCCTAATTTCTTCTGTAGCTCAACAGTCCCAGTCCTAGCTTACCCTCTTGATTCTTTCTCCCTCCCGACAACTCTCATCCTCCTGGTGCCCACTTGGGAGCCCAGGGCCCCCAGCTAATTTAGGTTTGGCTACCAGGATAACCCCATTCTATTATCACCAGCTTCTTGGTTACCTAGAGTCAGCTGTCCTGCACTGCCCACAGGGGGCAGTATAGGCCAGTGATTCTAATAGCACCTAGGATTTTTGGATTTGGAGCTGGAAGGACCCTTGTCATTTTACAGATAAGAAACTGAGGTCCAGAGAAGGCAGGGACTCGATCAGGGTCACACAGGTAGCAAGAAGATCTGTCATTCAATCCCGTGGTTTCTGACTCTAAGTGTGTAACTGTATTTCTTGTACCGTACTATGGCAGAAAACTCAAGTTTGCCCATTGCCCAGAAATGAGGATAATCTGACCTGAAATCCATTTTGCCTTCCAAATTCACAAAAGCCATCCTTTTTGTCATGCATACATAATTGTGTTAGAGCTATCTATATAGTTCTCTTATTCCCTACCGGGCTTTCTGAGGGCAAGGACTACGTTTCATCTAAATTTGTGTCCCCTACAGTAGCCAGCACTGGGCTCTTGGGGAGGGGGGGGACCTGAGGCCTCAAGGCCACGTGTGGTCTTCTAGGTCCTGAGTGTGGCCTTTTGACTGAGTCCAGGTTTTACAGAACAAATCCTTTTATGAAGGAAATTTGTTCTGTGAAGTTTGGATTCGGTCAAAGGGCTGCACCTGAGGACCTAGAGGGTCACATGTGGCCTCAAGGCTGCAGGTTTCCCACCCCTGGTATAAGGAATGCTTAGGAGAGGAAATTCCATCTACTGCTGCAGAGTGGTGCCTTCTCTGTTTTAGAGAGTTGCCTAAAGCATGGAGAGGTTAAGGGGTTTGCTTAGGGTCTCACAGCTCTTGTGTGTCAGAAGAGGAACTTGAACCCAGGTCTTCCTGGCCAGCTCTCTATCCTCTATGCTTTGCAGCCTTTTACACATAGAGTAGACATTTAATAGATGTTAGTTGAATGAATGAATGAATGAGTGAAGGACTGTTCTGGGGCTGTGGAGGCTGGGACCAGAGGGAAGAATGTCTCCTGGCTGACCAGCCCCCTTGTCTGCAGTGCCCCGTTCACTCAACCATGGCGAAACTGGAAACCCTGTCCGTGTGCGCTGACCCTGGCCGTGACCCCCTCCTGGCCTTTGCCCCTCGGCCACCTGAGCCCCGCCCTGCAGCCCCTCGCCTCGTGGCCATGGGCAGTGTGGGCAGTGGTGTGGCCCATGCCCAGGAATTTGCCATGAAGAGCGTGGGCACGCGGACAGGTGGGGGCTCAGGTGGGGGTGGCCGAGGGGGCTACCCTGGGCCAAGGGGCAGCGGGCCAGGGTCTGGCAGTGGGGACCTTCCAGCCAGATACCCCTCCGAGGACAAAGCCTTGGCCAACTCCCTGTACCTCAATGGGGATCTACGGGCCGGGGCCAGTGGTGGTGTCAGTGGAGACCGGACAGATGTCTGTGGCAACATGATCAACAACAGCAGCGACAAGGCCCCACCCCAGTACCGGGAGCCCAGCCACCCACCTAAGATCCTGCCCACCTCTGGCAAGCTGGACCAGGTCAGCCCAGCACATGGCCTGTGCTATCTTTAGACAGCTCTTTTCCTACCCCTGACTCCCACCAGAGGAGGGACTCTCAAGACTGGGGGTCCCCCCTCTCATTCCTGAGTGGTCAGTGTGGGGAAATCTAAGGGAGTCCTCATCTGAAGGGGCTATGAATAGGGAGGCTTGTGGGTGGAGGGCCCAACCCCCTGCCCCCCCCCCCCCCAGCATACAAGGAGCAAGGGATCTCAGGTTGAAGCCCTGTCAGTTTTTCTTAGTGCATAAGCAGCTCAGGGCACACTGTCTTGAATTCCCATCCCCATCTTCTCCTGTACACAGTGAGCAGAAGGGCCCCTCCCTCCCTTAGTGCATGTAAAACAGAGCCTCGGCCCTGATTGCTGCCTGCAGCGTACTGGGAGTGGAGGCCACATCCTGAGGCTGTCTTCTCTTGCAGTGCACAGAGCCTCTGGTGAGACCATCAGCCTTCAAGCCAGTCGTGCCCAAGAACTTCCATTCAATGCAAAACCTGTGTCCGCCCCAAAGCAATGGGGCATCAGATGGGCGAAAAGGCCCCGGGGGCCTGAAGGGTGGTGGGCTGGACAAGGCACGGACTATGACCCCAGCAGGCAGCAACAGTGGGGGTGGTGGAAGCGGCAGTGGGGGTGGAGGACTCTCCGACTCAGGCCGAAACTCACTGACCAGTCTGCCTACGTACAGCTCAGGCTACAGCCAGCACCTAGCACCCCTGAGTGCCTCCACCAGTCACATCAACCGCATTGGCACAGCCAGCTATGGGACCGGGGGTGGCCCCAACAGTGGGGGCCCCGGCTATCATGACCTTTCCTCTTCAGACAGTGGGAGGGCTTCCAGCAAGAGCACCCCCTCCTTTGGTAGGCTGAACCCCTTGGGATCCGGGGAGGGCGGTGGCACCAGTGGCGTGGGAGGGGTTGGTGGGGGCCTGGGCTCTTTCCCGGCCTCTCCCCCTTCACCGGATGCAGTGATCCAGGAGCTGGAGGAGCGGCTGTGGGAAAAGGAGCAGGAGGTGGCAGGGCTTCGGAGAAGCCTGGAGCAGAGCGAAGCGGCCATTGCCCAGGTGTTTGAGGAGCGGCAGAAGGTGTGGGAGCGGGAGATGGAGGAGCTGAGGCAAAACTGTGCGGGGAAGCTGCAGCAGGTGACCCGCCGTGCCCAGCGTGCCCAGCAGGGCCTGCAAATGCAGGTGCTGCGACTCCAGCAGGACAAGAAGCAGCTTCAGGAAGATGCAGCCAGGCTCGCTAGGCAGCGAGATGACCTCCAGGAAAAGGTGGCTGCCTGCCAGAAGGAGCAGGCCGACTTCCTGCCCCGTATGGAGGAGACCAAGTGGGAGGTGAGGGAGCTGCGTGGGGCTGAGGGGTGAACTAGGCTTGCGGACCAAAAAACCGTAAGCCTGGCAGGTGACTCTCCCAGCACCCGCACCGCAGCCCTATCTTCTCACTAGAGGGGGCCAGAGAGGCAGAAGGAAGAATGACCTTTGGGATCGCATGGGCGTGGGTGTGGTTTGGGATTGAGTTTGGAGGCTGGGGAGGGTCTCGCGTAGGGGTGCTGCTGGGCATGATGTAGGAGTCACCTCACTCGCCCCCAGGTGTGCCAGAAAGCGGGTGAGATCTCGCTCCTGAAACAGCAGCTGAAGGAGTCCCAGGCGGACGTGAGCCAGAAGCTGAGCGAGATCGTGGGGCTGCGCTCGCAGCTGCGGGAAGGCCGGGCCTCCTTGCGCCAGAAGGAGGAGCAGCTGCTGACCCTGCGGGACTCGCTAGGCGCCAAGCAGCCCAGCCTGGAGCTGCAGCTGCGGGAAGGCGAGACGGAGCTGGGCCCGGGGCTGCGCCTGCGGGACCGCTTGGGCCCCAGCGAGTCACGGGCAGGGGAGGCTGCAGCCGCCGACGGGACTGCAGCCGCCGCCGCCGCCTCCGGGGAGCCCGCCGAGCTCTGCGAGAGCGACGAGGCCAAGATGCGCAGACAGGCGGCGGCATCCTCATCTTCCTCCTCGTCCTCGGGCCCCCCCCAGGACGGGGAGGGCGACGGGGCAGACACGGCCGGAGCCCGAGCCCTGCGGCGGGAGGTGGGCCGCCTGCAGGCAGAGCTGGCGGCGGAGCGGCGCGCCCGGGAGCGGCAGGGAGCCGGCTTCGCCGAGGAGCGGCGCGTGTGGCTGGAGGAGAAGGAGAAGGTCATCGAGTACCAGAAGCAGCTGCAGCTCAACTACGTGGAGATGTACCAGCGCAACCAGGAGCTGGCCCGGCGCCTCGGGGAGCTGGGGGCCGCGGGCGCCTCCCTGCCCGCACCCATGCCCCTACCTGGACCCGTGCCCACGGCCCACGGTGTCTCAGGGGAAGAGAAGAAGGCATGGACCCCGTCCCGCCTGGAACGCATCGAGTCCACTGAAATCTGACCCCAACCGGCCCTCCCCGGACAGGTCCATGGGCACAGAACTCGCTCAACGTTTTTTTCTAGTTTGGACAAGATGACCAAGGCCCCTCCCCCAATGACCTATGGTAGCCTTTGGTCCTGAATCTAGGTCCATGGCCCCAGCCCCTGGCCCTGGGGAACCCCAGCTTCCACACCCCTTCCCCAGAGACCCCAGACCAAAGAGGTTCACGAAGCTCCGGTGACCATACCCCTATCCGCCCACGCCCACACTGTGTCAGCCCCAAGATTTTCCATTCCCGAACCCTAGGCTTTCAATCCTAGGCTCCTGCCTGGAGAAGGAGGAGGAAGAAGGCACTGGCTAGTCTGCTCAGGATCCCTGGTGGGGTGGGGGTAGAGGCACATAGAATCTTAAGTAGGTAGCCGGTGGAGTGGGACTTGCAGAAGCTGGGGGCTGATCCTGACCACCGATGATCCCAAAGCACACTTTCAGAAAGAGTCCTGGACCAGTGTCTCCCCTACATCTCCCTATCCCAGCCCTTGCCGAGTCCCCAGACCCCATCTCCTCCATGCACTTTCTGATCGGGGGTATCTGCTCGGCACGACCAAAGACACTAGGGCCCTCCCCACACACACCCTTCGGTAGAGGCAAGGACACTTCCAGCACTTTGTTCTCTAGGATGGTTGGGGGGTGGGGTTGTAGATGAGGTGCAGGAAGTAGGGTTGATGGCTGAAAGCCTAGGAGTTCCTGTGGGGATGGAGATGGGAGCTGAGTGTCTATCAGTTTGTCTGGGTCCTGCCATCTCCACACCTCTTCCACCCCCCTCCCCAATCTCAGTCACTCAGTCCCTGCCCCAGTATCTCTCCCTCCTCCCCTTCCCAAACCCCCAAGGCTGAACACTGCCCCCAGCCTAATCACCTCCCCACCCCCATCCTTGGGGCAAGAAGCTTGATCTCTGAAGCATCTCTGAAGCATACACACCTTTAGGGTTTGGGTTATTTTAGGGAAATGACAGTGACACCAGGCCTTCCTGTGATGGGGCTAGAGGTGGGGGCCTTCTTGGGATTCACCAGCAATAACAGGGAGGTTCAACATCGTCATCTCCCCCCATCCCAGAGCTGACCTGGGGGGAGCTGGTAAATCTTGTGCCCTCCCAACCCCACTCCTCCAAATCAATGGGCCCCCACGACTCCAAGCCCTGACTGCCCTAACCCAACTAGGACTGTTCATGAACAACCAAACTTAATTCTTTAGACCCTTGAGACACCCCGGGAGCATGATGGCCAGACTGACCCTCAAGGGTACAGATGGACAGGTTAGCCCCCTGGGAAAAGAGCCAAGGAACAGATCTGGGGTGGGCTGGGAAAGCTAAGCCTTGGGGTGAGGGACAGAGGGAAGCCGCACAGCCTACAAAGGTAGCAGCACCCTCAGCCTTTGAGAGGAAGCAGGTCTTAAAAGAATACAACCCTTGTCTATCTGTTTATCCAACTGTGCAGGACTTTTGGGGCTTTCACAAAGAAATAAAAAAGAAAGGCCAACCCCTCTAAAGGGGCCTTCCCTGGTCTCCATCTTTATTTGGGGGGGGGTGTTGGATTGTTAAGAGGGAGGGTGAATGAGGTTCGAAGTTCAGGAGTCAGCTGGCCCTACTACATTGGCTTAGTCCAGGGGTGGGAAACCTGCAGCCTCAAGGTCACACGTGGCCCTCTAGGTGCTCAAGTTGGGCCCTTTGAGTCCAAGTTTTACAAAACAATCCTTTGATCAAGGGAATTTGTTCCGTCAAGTTTGGGTTCAGTCAAAGGGCTGCACCTGAGGACCCAGAGGGCCACATGTGGCCTTGAGGCCACAGATTCCCCCCCCCCAATCAAAGGATTGTTTTAGACTTTGTTAGTACCAGTGGGTCCCACCCATTCAGACCCACCTGAAGCCCCCTCCTTGAGGAAACAATTGCTGAGTGTTGCTCTGGTTCTTACAAGCAAGGATGGAGGCCCAGCCTTGATCTGACTGAGCTCCATTCAGTTTGGGGGCAGTGGCTCAGCACAGCGTGGATGTTGGTGGAAGGTCCCAACAGGGAAGGGTAGGCCCAAGCTTCTACATAGGTGTCTGTCTACAATTGGACTCAAACACTGTAACCAGCCTTCCTGTCAGTGGCAGCCCTGGGCTGATTTCTAGTTCCAGCTCTGCTGTCATTCCTGTAAGACCTTGAGAGAGTTACTTCAATTCTCTTATCTGTAAAATAGATCTTTTACTTGGGGTGGAGGGTTAATTGCCCTCTGACCTCCATAGGCAGAAAAACAATCGTGACATTAGTTCTTGGGCTTCAGGCTCTACTTTTTCCATCAAAGGGAGGTGGGATTTTTCTTTTCTGAGAGGAAGAAGTGAGACTTCCTCTCTTTTTTTCTTCTAGAGGAAGGATCCTCAAAGCACACTGCCAAGAAAGTAAAAACCTGTACTTTGTGATGCTTCTCAGTGTGACTCCTGCAAGCTCTGCCTCCACCAAAACCCATTTCATCCTTTCAAGTGCTGGTGGTGTTATCTTTCTAATATACTTTTTTTAAAAAAATTATTTATTTATTTTCTAATACACTGTTAATGATGATCTTACACCTCAAAAATCTCCAGGCTTCCTATTGCCTGTTGAATCAATTACACATTCCTGACCTGGTATTCATGGCCATCTCTGTTGGCCTTAATATTATGGTTCTTTCAACCCTTGCTTCATACTACTTCTTACTACAGGTAGTGGATGTTCTAGCCAATTGGACTGTTCTCCCTCCCCTGTTCGAGTCATGCCATTTCTATCTCCTTGGTTTTAACACACAGATACACACCTCTCTACCTCTCCCTCCCCAAACCTGGAATGAACTCCCTGTCCCCTGTCATTTATGATAGAGGTTTCCTTCAAGGCCCAGTTCAGTTTCTGTTCGCTCTGTGAAGCCACCCTGCCTTTAGGTTAAAGTGATATTTCCCTTTTCAGAGTTCCCATAGGCCTTTGCTGGGACTTCTCTTTGGCATTGATTGAACATTCTGCATTATAGTCATTTTCAAATTCAAATATTAATCACTTCCTTCACTGTGCTAGTTGTTAAAAAAGGAAGTTGTCTTCAAAAACTTTGCAGACTATAAAGAGGAATAAGTAGGGGGTGCTGGTAAAATTTTAACAAGAGACCCCCCCTCTTGTGAATGTACTATACACTTTTAAGTTTAATCTGCATTATTATCACTTTTTTAAATCGAGATAACAAAACAATCAAGCCTTGATTTTCAGAGGTATAAATGCTGAGCTAAAAATTTAACAATTGTCTGGCTTGCCCCTTCACACCCCTGATAAGATACATAGGGAGATACATATAACAATTGGCTTCCTCCAACATACCCCTAATGAGATACATATAACAAAAGTCTGGCTCTTCTACACCCCTGATGAGATACATAGGAATATAATATAACAATTGTCTTCCTCCAACACACCCCTGATGAGATACGTAGGGAGATACATATAATACAGGGTAAGGTATACTGGGGGCAGAGAAGAGCACTAGACAAAGAGCAGAAAGGAAATTTGAAGGAGAGAAGGCCAATTAAAGGAAGAATTGAGCTGAGCCTTGAAAGAAGATTGTGAAGGTTCAAAAAAAATGTGACTTATGTGACTTCCTAGTTTAGCCAACATCTTGGCTACTAGCCAAAAGTGCAAGGGGTGGGGTGGGGCAGGGGGCTGGGGAAGGTTGGTAATGTTTGTCCTTCATTCGCAAAGAGGGCTATGGCTTCTGGAAGGTGATGCCAGTGCTTGCAAGTGAATTGGATTTAAGTGAGGGAGGGCTGTGCAAAGCCACCAGCCTAGCTTTCTTTCTTTCTTTTTTTTTAACTTTGTTTTTTTTTTAAATTAATTTATTTTGAATTATCAATAATCACTTCTACAAGCTTTTGAGTTTTAAATTTTTCTCTCCCTCCCTCTCCACCTCCCTCCCCAAGATGGCATGCAATCTAATATAGGCTATACATATACATTCCTATTAAACATATTTTCACATTAGTGATGTAAGTAAGAATTAGAACCAATAGGAGGAACCACCAGAAAGAGGAAACAAAACACAACAGAAGAAAAAAAACAGCAAATAGTATGCTTCGATCTGCATTCAAACTCCACAGTTCTTTCTTTGGACGTGGATAACATTTTCAATCGTGAGGCCTTTGGAGATGTCTTAGGTCCTTGTATTGCTGAGAAGGGTTAAGTCTATCAATATTAGTACCTAACTGATTATGTTATTCCCTTCTTGAGCCAAATCTGATGAAAGTAAGGTTCAAACAATGCTCATCTCCCTCTCCTCTTTCATTCTGCTGTAATAGGTTTTTGTGCCTTTCCCTGTAATGTAATTTACCCTTGTCTGCCTCCTCCTTTCCTTTTCTCAGTACATTTTCATAGTTAGATCAGATTAATCCATTTACTTGGATCCACTTAACCCACTTGATTAGATTTTTTTTTATCATTACATCAAAGTCAACTTATACCCACTCCCTTTATGTATACTCCTTTAATGTTGTGTAATAACAATATAGTTCTCAAGGGTTACAAGTGTCATCTTCCCTTGTAGGGATGTAAACAGTTTGCCCTTATTAATAACACGTTGTTTCTTTCTATCCCGTTTACCTTCTTATGTCTCTCTTGAGTCTTGTATTTGAAGATCAAACTTTCTGTTGAGCTCTGATCTTTTTATCTGGAAGGTTTGGAAGTCCCCTATTTCGTTGAATATCCATCTCCTCTCCTGAAAGATCATGCTCCTTTTTGCTGTGTCAACCTAACTTTCTCCACCGGAGCCCTCTGGGTCCAGTGGCAAGATACAAATCAGGATGACTGGAGGTAGACTTGAAGATGGTCCCTCCAGCAAGTTGTGGTATGATGGGTGTGTGCTGCCCAAAACGGAAGATTAGTTTGGAGCTCTATGAGGAATGGATAGAGGAAGGGACAGAATGCAGGCAGAGGAACCAATTAGCAGGTCATTATAACAGTACAGGTGAGAATCGATGAAGGTTGGACCCAGAGTGGAGATAAGGGATGACCTTGAGAGCTATTGCAGGGTTGGAACTGACAGGATTTGGCAATGATTGGGTGGAGGGGGGAGGGCTGAGTGGGAAGATAAGAGAGAAAAACTAAAAATGACCAAGTTCACAAGGCTAGATGATTATAAGAATGGTGATGCTATTGTCAAGTCCTGAAATAAATCAAAGCCATGAGTTGAGGAATAAAGTGTCTTTAATTAAGATAACAGAGTAGCAAACCTGCCAGCCTGGGGGATGTCCCATGAATGCAGAGCACAGTAGATTTCCCAACTCCAAGAACCATGCAAAAACTTCTTATACCTTTAGGAAGAGAGGGGAAGGAGGTAGTATGAGGTAGCAAGGCCTGGTCACGAGACTCCAGGGGATCTTGGCAATGCCAGTAAGGAAAATCACTTTATTTTGGCTCTTTTGCCATTTGTGCTATGAATCCTAATGGAAGGGAGCAAGGACATTAGAAGCTGAGATCCAACTTAAGCTAGGTTCCTTTACAAGGTAAAATCTGTAGGGGGGGGTACTTAGAGTTAGGTTCAGTTCAATTTAATCAAGACTAAATAGCTTAAGGAGCAGCTAGGTGGCGAAGTGGGTAGAGCTCCGATCTTGGACTCAGGAGGATCTGAGTTCATATCCAACCTCAGACACTTGACACGTACTAGTTGTGTGACCCTGGGCAGGTCACTTAACCCCAATTGTCTCACACACACACAAAAAAAAAAGTAAATAGCTTAAGAGTACGAATGTAAAGACAGTATTGAAATTCTGACTAGGATCATTAAGGGAGTGACAAGTAACATTTGGCATTAATAATTTTCTGTCCCTAGCACAAAAATAGGGAAGCTGGAACCCAGGGAAGGTTTCAGTGTGTATGTGAAGGGGATGGAGCTGGGGAGAAGATATGATCATTTTAATTTTAATCACCTTTGGGCCTCAGTTTCTTCAACTATAAAGCAAGGAGGAAGAAAACAAGCATCAATGAAGCAAGCACAACAAATATTATCTTATTTGATTCTCACAACAACCCTTTGAGGTAGATGCTTTAATTAGCTCCATGTTACAGATGGGGAAACTGAAGCCGGCAGAGGTTAAGTGACTCATCTAATGTGTCCGAGGGCAGATTTGAACTCAAATCTTCCTGAGTACAGGCCTGGAACTCTACCACCTGCTGTTTTTCAAGTCATTTTAGACTCTACATGACCCCATTTGGGGTTTTCTTGGCAGAGATACTGGAGTAGTTTGCCATTTCCTTCTCCAGCTCATTTTACAGATGAGGAACAGAGGCAAACAGGGTTAAGTGACTTGCCCAGGGTCACACAACTAGTAAGTGTCTAGGGCTAGATCTGAACTCAGCACTATGAGTTTTTCTGACTCCAGACCCAGCACTCTATCCATTTCACCATTTAGCTGCCCCATACCACCTAGTACTCTATAAAATGAGGGAGCTAAAGTAGATGATCTAAGGTCCCTTTCAGTTATAAATCTCATGATCCCAGATAATAATTGAACT